GACAAATTGAATGATGCCACCATCCCCGCGCAGACTCCGGAAGGACATGGTACTGGACGCCATGGCTGACAGCGTCATCTACAACGCCATCGACCTGACCAATGGATTCGATCAAATCTTGATAAGTGCATGTGATGTGCCTCTCACCGCCGTAAGTACACGGAGCGGGATGATCTGGGAATGGCTCGTGATGCCACAGGGTCTGAAGAACGCGCTTGTCATCTTCAATGGCATGGTCTCCCATGTGCTTCGTCCGCTCCGAGACTTCGCATCGAATTACTTTGACGACATCTTCGTGCACAGCCGCGCTGAGGGCAACCTCAGTGCCGTGGAAGTACATCTGAAACACCTGAGACAAGTCTTTCAGGAGATGCGAGAGAACGAGCTCTACGCAAACCTGAAGAAATGTGTCTTCTGTGCACCGGAGATTCCGGTGTTGGGATGATACGTGAGCAAGAGCGGTGTGCGCGCAGATCCCGAGAAGGTCTCGTCTATCTATGTTTGGCCAACACCGACAAGCCCCACTGAGTTGCGTCAGTGGCTTGGCATGGCCAATTACGTGCACAAGTGCACGAAGAATTACGCTGGGTTGATCCAACCGCTGTCCTCGCTGATGAAGAAGGACGTGATCTGAGAGTGGAAATTGGACCTCCAAACTGCATTCAACTCGGTGAAAAAGAGCTTGGCGTCTGCGCCGATGTTGAAGCTTGCTGATGACTCGAAGTCATTCCACGTCGTCTGCGACGCGAGCTATTTTGCTATCGGCTGTGCGCTGATGCTGTCCGATGGTGACGAGCATGAACGCGTTATCAGCTATCAGTCGCGACAACTGAAGCCAGCCGAGAAGAACTACCCAGTCCACGACAAGGAGCTCCTGGCAATGCGGAATTATCTATCAAATTCAGAGTGCACTTGCTCGGTGAGCAGTCGTTTGCGGTTTACACTGATCACACATCGCTGCGGGCAGCGATGGAGAGTCCTCACTTGTCGCAACGGATGGCCCGTTGGATGTCCTTCTTTCCCGAGTACAACTTCGTTGTTCACTACAAGTCGGGCAAGAATAACATTATCGCCGACGCGCTATCTCGGCGCCCGGACTACGATCCCCGTGAGGCGCTAGGACATCAGGTGGCCGATGAGGACGACGACGAATTTGCGGTTTGCGTTTCGTCAGGCATCAACCCGACGCTGATCACGCCCACGCTCCCGCTGGGCGACGCGCTCGTCTTGCGGGCCGCCTGGACCTGTTTGAGCGTGAGGTCGCGAGCCTGCATCTGCGGGTGGACCGGCGGGCCTCTTCGTCCGATCTGGACGAGGCCTTCTGCATGATCCGACGTATCGAGGCTCTGCTGCCACGTCCGGAGTCGCCTTCGGTGCACTCCCAGTCGTACGCGTATGGTGCGTACCCGGCGTACTCAACGTACTCGGCGTATGGCTCCGGGATCCGTTCGTACGGGGCCCCTCCTGCGTACGGTCTTGATCGCAGCTTTGCCGTTCAGACCGAAGCTTGGGTGCCTGCTCTTCGTCGACATCTGTGGCCGGTCCTCGCTTCAAGGAGCTGGGGCAATGTGGGTCTGCGAGTCAGCAACCCCTGGGGATCAAAGTATCGCTTAATCGATCGCAACAGCGTACGATGATGACCCTATATACGGTGCCATTTTGAAACACCTGCGCGCTCCTAGTAGCGACACGCTAAGTGCTCTGTCAAGGATCACGCGTAATCAGATCGATCGATATCGACTGGACGGCAATCTAATGAAGTACAGCATCGACAGTTTCGATGGACCCCGAGTCGTCGTCCCAAACGACGCTGACCTACGTGCGCGTATTATCCACGAGTACCATGACGCCCCGACTGGACGACATCTCGGTTGCGAGAAAACGTACGCGGTACTATCGAGAGACTTCTATTGTCCCTACATGTACAAGTGGGTAAGCAAGTGAGTCCGCACATGTGAAACTTGTCAGCGGGTCAAACCGTCTCGACGTCCCAGGCTTCCGTGGCGCCCTCTTCCGGTCGCCACGGAAGCCTGGCGCTCCATTTCGATGGACTTCATCTTCGGTCTTCCGCCCGATACAGCCGGGCGCACGGGTGTACTTGTGTTCGTCGATCGTTCCAGCAAAATTGTCCATCTTGTTCCTGTGGCAGCCTTGATCACCGCGGAAGAGTCCGCGGCTCACTTTGTCAAGGTGATTTCTCGTCACCACGGCCCGCCGGAGTCTATCGTATCCCGACCGTGACCCGCGGCTCACTTTGTCAAGGTGATTTTTCGTCACCACGGCCCGCCGGAGTCTGTCGTATCCCGACCGTGACGCGCGGCTTACATCCGCGTTCTGGTAACGCCTCTTCGAGCTCTTGGGAACTAAACTGCTGATATCGACCGCGGCTCATCCGGAGACGGATGGACAAACAGAACGCGTCAACCGAGTCCTTGAAGACGTTCTCCGCAGCTACGCGAATTCGTACACGAGCTGGAGCTCGTTCCTGCCGTTAGCCGAATTCGCACTCAACAGCGCCGAGCACTCCTCGACGGGCCTGACGCCGTTCTTCGTGAACAAACGCCCGCCACCCACGTGTCCCCGCACTTCTCGCCGTGGGACATCCCATGGATGCTGGCGGCTCCCACATTCGAGGTGGGAATGGCATTTCGGTGGTGGTGGGGGTGGGGGTCTCTTTCGGTCAACATGGATGCTGAGGCGCGGTCAGTCCTGTAGTCAACGAGCCCGTGTCGTGGTCCCCACCGGTGCGTGAATCGGTGTCTCAGCGCGCACCGGTAACCTCACCGGTGGCAACAGGCCTGCCGGCGAATTCGACTTCAGAGTTATCTTCAGGTGTAGCCAGTGTGAGCGCCTTGACCCGCTCCCCGTCCAAGCAGACCACCGAGCCTCCGCGACGTACCACAGCTCCGATAACGAGATGGACATCGCAGAACTTGATTAATCCAGGCAGCAAGGCGCTCGAGCAGGACGTTACCACGACCAATTATACATCGAAACCCTTGGTGCTTCCAGCCGATCGCTCGGCAGCTGCATAATTCGTCAGGTAGAGACAATCCATCTCAAGGTTCGTCCGCAACGCACTGCAGAACGCAGTGGACAAGCAAAAGGAACAAGCAGCTAAGCACGGTCGAAAGAACGTGAATGTATTCAAGATAGGAGACCGCGTTCTCCTATCGACCGAGGGAATCCGCGCTTCTGCCGTAGCCAACCTGGGCGCCAACAAACTTGCTCCACGCTTCATCGTCCCCTTTCGAGTAACCAAGGTTGTGGGTGACGCCTACACCCTGGACATCCCATCGTCACTTAGACTCCACCCGATCTTTTATGTCGGGCGACTCAAGCGGTATTTCCCTGCGACGTTTCCTGACCCAAGCAGCGTGCGTCGGGCGACCAGCCCGACGAGACTGACGAGCCTGAGACCCGTCAGTCCGCCAGGCACGATCTTCCGCCCGTTCAGCTCCAATCTGAGCGGCCAACGCACGATTCGAAGCAGTCTTCACCTCGCCGTGGACGTACAGGGCGTACGTCGTATCACCGTGAAGGTCCACCACCGATAATTGACTCGGTGGACGACGCGCGCTGGATTGTGGAGCGTATCGTTGGCCACGAAAATCCCCACAACTCGGCTGCTCAAGGTGACGTCCGCAGTCGTACGTTTCGCACGCCCCCGACGGCGCGCCGCTATCTAGTACGTTTGATCGGTTATCCTCCGGAGCATGATACGTGGGAGCCCCGCGCCAACCTCCTCCGCGACGTTCCGGGCGTGGTCCACGAGTACGAGACCAAGATGTTAGAGATGAAGAATTCCGCGGGTCACCCCGCCGAGACCAAGCTGCTAGAGAGGAAGAATTCCGCGGGTCACCTCGCCGAGACCATGAAAGAAATCGAGAACGCCCACGGTAACGGCCCATACGAGGAGGCGACAACGACGCCGTGCTCCGACGCGTGCAGCGTCGCGCGAGCCGCGGCGAACACTGACACAACTTGTCAGTGCAAGAATGAAAACACGAAACCACCGGCGACATCGAACCGGTGACCAGTGGGTTGCCAACCCGACACGATCCGACTGCGGCGAAATGACTTCGATTACCAGCTCCGACACGGTGGTCAACAAGTACCTGCTTCTTGTTATACCAGTGGTGACAACGTGATGCTCACTTGGGTTGCTCAAGAGGTTTACTTCCGTCGACAAGGCTCATGTCTTCGAGCAGTTCAAAGACGTTCCGCACTGGCAGCAAAACATCACTTACGTGTGCGTGAGTGAATCCGCCTGGTGGGAATCTAACCCTGGTGTCCTGACTGGTAGCCACACGCATCGACTACTGCGTCACGAAGGCGCCTTCGTGAGTTTCCTCGTGTCCGTCATGCAACTGCCTAAAGCTCGGAGTTTTCTAAGCCGCATGTGCGCTGACCGCTTCGTCGATGTGTGTCTTGGGAGCCGGAAGACGCAGTGCCGGGCCTCGCAGTACATCCAGAGCTCGTGGCGCACCTGTCGATCATGGGCTTTCCCTTGTTACCACCACCAACGTCGCGCTGGCGCCGCCGCCCTTCGCGCTGTCTCCGATGTCTCCGCTCCGTCGGTTTATGAGTCTTCTTCAGATGTGCTCCGTGCGCTTATATTGCGTAAACGCAACTTAGAGAGGAGGGTGATGTTATGGGCCCAACTCATATTACATAAGTAGGTAGATATTTCTTAAGTTATTAGTCGATCTTGATCGACGTGGGGTGTCGTTGTTCCTTAACGGGGGCTCATGCTCCTTTCCTTGCTAGACTTGGTCGCTTCTTATAGCGGGGACGTTGAGGGTGAGAGTGAACACGATCGACCGGCCAAGCTGCAAACTCCGGCGACTGACACGTGTCCTTGGTAGACTTGACTTGGTTACTGTATGGACCACTACGATTTCCTGCTACAGTCCAAAGTTGAAGAACCCTTGTTGGGATGAGGCAAATTTCACTTTGTTAATACTTAAATTCTTTGCGGTCCACTACCTGCGTATCCTATGATCATCAAACTGGCCCTTGAAGGTAATATCGTACTTATCCGATTTTAGTACAAATCAGTCAATCTACTGAGTAGATCGTGTACCGAAATGACTGTGCCTTACCGATCCTATTTAGTTGATTGCGTATGCGCTCGCTCATGCGCCGTCGTCACTGGCGGCCTTCCAGCACCCGATTGGATCGTAGCCCATCAATCAGCTTCCAACTTAACCAACGGGTACTTCACCACAGTGGTAGGGGGTATCGACTGCTGAAATTCCATGCCATCCTCGATATTTGTTAAGTTAAGTGCTGTAAACACGCTGGTCTCCTCGATTACTATGCACGTGAATACAGTGAGCCAGAAGGGGAAGGCTTTGTCATCGACGAGGTAGCAGTAATGCTGTCGCGGTATGCGCTCGATCCGATGTCGGTGACGGAGCTTTCCACCAGATCAGAGTGTGTTCAACGACTTCATTGATGCAGCGTTCTGTGGAATCGAAGTGGTGGATGTTCCCGCGAGTGATGAGTCGATGGGTGCCTGCGACGATTCTGGAGGCGAAGCAGAGAATAATAATGTAGAGCTCGATTTTTTTCGGATAATAAGGAGCCTCGACACCTTTGTCAATCCAAACGTGAGATTGTAAGGCAAAATGGACTGAAGTAACTAAAGTAACAAACTAATTTTGGAAATATATTTGAAAAAGCGACTTTAGAGCAATGCAAATTTAGTGTAACGCTAACCACTTGGCTTTGAGCCAGTACCAGCGCCACAATGCCAAGCGAGGGCTTGCCGCCCGAGCGCGGGTGCTAGACGCTTACACGAGCGGACGAGACTGGGCCCTGGTGGCGGACTGTAACTGCATTTCAGCCACTACAGGTACATGTACAGCCCGCAAGATTGTCGAGCGTGGGCCACCGGACGTCAAGACGAGAGGTGGTGCACGCGCAGCGTGCACTAAGCGCACGCCTGAGATGGAGGAGGCGCTATATGTACTGTAGTGGAGTACTTAAAGGAAAACGGCTTGTATAGACTTGCGCAGATGCAAGAGATGCCGTGGTTTGACTTTGCAGTTCGCATCAGCACGTCGTCTCTCATCAGCAAGAGACTATGTGATAAAGTGTATGCAGTCAAGCAGTAAATAATTGATTTACACGAAATCTGCATCGCTCTACATTGAATATTAACAAAACAATTTTTTTATAAGATGAAAATTTATTTTGGGTCATTCCTCTTTGCTTTGCGATCTCGCCGGTTTGGATTGGCAAAGGTGTAGTTGATAGCAAAGTTGCGTATTCGAGCAGATTCAACGAGCATGTCGGATAGAAGCGGACAGGGGCTTAGGGCGATGTAGAGACAGCTGCGAGGTGAGCTAAGCTGGAAGAAATAGTGCAAGCAGCAAGTGTCCTTGCTTGCCTACTTTGGATGCTGCACAATAGTGACATTCCCATAGTTACGCACCTCAGAACAGTCATTCTTGGCGTAAATCTTTAATTCCATAATCCGAGGGAGGGAGAGAGGTAATACTACAGTACTATCTTAGGACCGCTCTTAACAGCGGCGTGATTGTAGAATCCGTGCACTGTGCACGAAGGATTGCGTAATAGAAAATCGCTAGAATGTGCATCGAAGCTGTTCACGAGTGCAGGATGCACACTCGTGATCGGGGTGCACGGGCTAACGGAGAGAACGGGGAGAAAACCGAATTTTTGCAGGAACACTTTTTATTGCCCAAGGACACGTGTACACCAAGCATGAATTCTCCCGCTTTATCTCCTCACAGCGAGCCAAGTTCTGCTCATAAGAGCGGCCAAAACACACCATCTTCCAGCCGCTCGCCTGAAGTGGACGTTAGAGTCTCTAGCCCAGTCACTGCGCCTTATTGAAGAGGAAGTGTACATGCCAGCGCCTCTCATCTCAGACAAATGTCAGGACGGAGCTACGCCGAATCAACACCGAGCTCGTTTTTCCTTGCGCAGCTATTGCTTATGCTGCCTGATTTAGAACGACTGCATGACGCGCGTAAAGAGCTGTTCAGCTCGATCGTGTGAGCACTGGACTACCGTTTGACCCCACAGAGCAGGTTGGTGCTCTTGTGGAGGGTGATAGTGTACCTAGCGAAGGCAACAACAATATAGCTGTCCTATCTACTTGTGCTGAGCTGACGTTAGATGACTTCGAGTGTACCGAAACGGTTACACAGCGAGACGGCAAGCGTGTCAAAGTCCATCGCATCATAACCATCAGGCAAGTCGACAAGAGAAACCAAATATGCCGAGCTATGCTCGTTATGCATTCGTGTGGGAATTAAATCGTATAAGAAAAATTCAAGACCGCGCTATTAGAGACGATTGCGCAGAAGAAGAAGTACAACAATGTATACAAGCCGATATTTGACGCAATAATGGCTGAGCACCAAACTCCGACGAGGAAGCAGATCCAATGTCCTTTCCGACTAATAAATGTTATATTCTCTAGTCAACTCGCTTATCGATTTGTCTCGCTAGGGGACCTACGCTGTCGAGCCGACCTCGACGCTGCTGTCTCAGCAAAGACGCTGTTTGGGAGGACGCGCATGCCCGTTTTGTCGATAAAAACCGTCAGATGTGTTCGACCATCTAATTGCCGTCCACCCCGCGTTAGACCCTCTTGGCATTGGTCTGTCCAAAATTATTACACACACCACTCAGCATCTACGAGCGATTTGGGAATCTGCTCATGCTGCATAAAGGAAAGCCCATATCCGGTCACTACATCTGGCATCAATAAAGACAATTCCTACAGCTTCTGCCAAGGGCGGGTTGACGCACTGTATGCCCACCTTCATATGCAAAGACGACCCGGATTGACAGCAACTGTCAAGAAGTCCTCTGAAGGCGTGTAAGTTCCATCGCCGATCAAATAACGATTCGGTCCTAGTCGGTCGACAAAATCGGCCACTTTTGCCCTGTTGAATGTTCAAAATTCACTCGAACCACCAGGGGCAGCGACGCCAAAGTAAATAAAGCGGCTTAAGTGATCACAAACAGACTGGAGGCTTAAGCCTATGTGATAGTAGTGGTCGGAAAAGTAAGCGCGAACTTTACCTGCCTCTTTGGATGAAGGAGTAATGATTTAGCTACCAGTCCGTCAATGCAGCCGACGCAGCCATCCAGTACACCTTCCGTGCTTCGCGCTTGAATACCGAGGCGACACTCTCCATATTATTTAAACTGGTAGGAAGCTTAATATCGAGATACCCGCATTTAAGAATTGCCGAAATCCCTTTGTGTAAGCAGCGATAGAACGAAGGCGCACTGATGTTAGCCACATCTCGGACGTCCAATCAGGGCTCCCCTGCAAGAGCGCAACGTGCAGTGCAGCACTACTTCCTCCGAAATAGGGGCAACACCTGCTCTCCGAGAGGACATAACGCCATCGACTGAGAGGTCTTCCTGAAGTAGAGCTACCAGGCGATCGAAATGCCGTTCTATGTAAGTCGCGTCGCAGGCGATAGACGTGACCACCCCAAAGTAGACGCTGGCGAGCGTGGTATTCTTCTCTGGTATTCAGGTCCACATAGGTAGCCGACAAGCAAATAAGACCGCCTTCCTTCATGAGACCATCATCCGAATCACTGCCGTTAGCAAACAGATCGCCGTCGCCGCCATTATAGTAGTCGAAGAGCGAGATAGCGCCAGTACCGGCTGTCTCTTTCATCGCCATCGACGAATGGGCTCGCTTGCGAGAGACCAGTGCGAAAACTGATGCCGGCACGGTGTTCCATGTCTTTGTAGGGTTCGGTTCTTTCTTTGACCCGGACACAATTTGAGGAACGGAAAAATTCATTATCTTCGGGGCAAAATTTGTTGAACGGTACAAATTCATTTGCCACACAGGAGTGTTTTGCTGTACCCCGTCTCGTGCCCCGTGCGCAAATTCTATATGCGGGATCACATAGCACCTTGCACAGACGAAGTGCTTAAGGGTATTTACTACCCGAGTGGATGTTAGTCCACGTGCTCCCGGCCTCAGAAGGAACGGTTTGCTACTTAGGAGAGTAGATGTAAGACTGATGTATTTAAAAGTAACCTTAACTGGGGTTCTTTACAAACTAGAGGTTACCTTTAGTGCAGCTAAGTAGGCATGCCCTGACTGGCTCCTAGAGCACCTGGTACCGTGTACCAGGTGCCCACAAGCGTGACGGGTCACTCTTTATGTAACATGGGGTACACTGGATTGTACCCCGTTACATCATCCCCCACTTAACTGAGAATCACCTGATTCTCCAATCAGAAGTGAGATAATTAAAACACCCAAATGTGAATTTTCACACTGAGTAGCCATGAGACTGGCGCAGCTCTCATTCACACCTACAGTGACTGCTCCCAAAGCTCACTAAGATTTGCATCCCTATGCTCACAACTGTGTTGGCCGCAAAGCCTACACTCAGAGCTGCCTTAGCGCCTGCGCTAGCGCGCGTACTGTGCTTTGGCACAGAGTGCAATAGCATCCGAACATGTAATATTCGCCCACAGCTCGCACCAGAGGACACAACAGTCCTCGCGAACGCGTCCGGAGCGTGGTGTCTCCCGCGAGGGACGACACCGAAAAGGGCAACACCTGCCCCCGCACTAGAACGAGCTCTCAGCTCACCTCGGTCCATGCCATTGGCTCCAGCAAGGATCCATCCTTGCGGGCGGAGCTTCTGCCACGCTCTCTTCGTGTCTTGGCCGTCATGCCAACGGCGCGTAGGTGTCCTTCATCGACACCGTGTACCGTGGTGGTGCTCAGGAATGGTGCAGGTGTCTCCCATCGACACCATGTACCTTCCGGTACTAAGCGGCACGCCCATCACAAGGTTGCCATATTTGGCGGTAACAGCTTCTGCTGTGCTGTCGCCTGAACTGATTCATGGCCAGTGCTCGCATCATGCACGACGCATGTGCAAGCACAGCGTACAGGTCCATGGACCGGTACACCAGGTACGCTTTGTATGAACGTACCACAGCTACCATAAGTGCTCCGTGCATTTCATGTGTGTCATCGCACGACGTGTTCATTACGCGGAACACCCGGCAGGCTGCTCGACAGCAACCAGTGCTGCACGGTACGTGCGCTGACTCACAGCGCATACGCCCAGAGCAGCATCTGGTCGTGGTATGGCGCATATCCTTTGCACCCATACCAGTGTCTGTCATAGACACCATGTACCTTGATGGTACTCCACCGTGGTGGGGCATATCTCACCACCATGCCACTACGGCGTTGGTGTCTGGCATCGACACCGAGTACCCATGCGGTACCGAACCATGGTGAGGCAAGCAGTCACCTGGTCAGTTGTGTGTGCACACGTGCACCACACTTGGGTTATGGCTCCACGGACTATTAAACCCGGCGCGCTGCGTACATCACGTACCGCAACCGCTTTGTCAGCGGGTGAGACTTTCCGTTCACCCTGCTCGACAGGTCGTTCATGACCAAGGGGCCTGTGCGGTGATTGCACCAGGTCCGCGCTTCGCCTAGTGTGTGGTTGCATGCAACCACAACACTACTGATGCGCTCAGCGATTCCGAGGCACCTAGCGTCCGTGGCTTCCGTCGCCACTTTGGCTTGTTTGGCTAGAGCTGCCGCAGCTCTTGCCCGGCTGTTCGCCTCCAGCCTGCGGTCGATGTACATCGACGCCTGGTTCCGTAAGAAACTTGATCTTACCTCAAAACCAGGGAGGAAATGTATTTCCGAGCCTCTCTCCCACTTACACTTGAGGCCATTGAGTCTCTCGTGTCTTGTGATAGCCACTGGCAGCACGACGGCTACTTGCGTCATGCAAAGCTAGGGAGGAAAGGTATTCCCGAGCCTCTCCTCCACTTAACCTTGAGACTACGGAGTCTCTCGTGGCTTGTGATAGCCACGGGTATGCACAACGGCTCTCCGCCGCGTGCACCGCGCCGGTATGGCCGACCGCGTCGGCCCGTGCCGACCGAAGGCATTTAACCTTCGAGTCAGCAGTTTGAGTCTGCGC